CCCCGCCAGACCGAACCCCGACCTACCCCCCACCTCCAGATTCGCCTCTTCCCCTGACCCGAGAGATCTTCCACACCCCTCAACATTCCCTCTAACAGGCCCGCCTCTTCCAACTACAACTCGCCCAGAGACTCCCCCCACCCCTCTTCACAGATCTGCTCTCTGAGGGCTCACACCCACCTGGGGCAGCCATCCACACCCCCCATCCACAACCCCTCAGCCCACCACCTCCCCCCACAGCCCAACCACTCCCTGGAGTATCACCTCCGCCAACRCCTAGCCCTCCAAGTACCCCACTCTCCCCTCACAACCAACCCTACTCTGCTGCCTCAGAAAAGACCTGGCCACGCRAATTGATGGAACAGCAGCGGTGAGGAGCGTCCACACAGACAGAAACAGGACTACAAAACGAGCAATCAGGGGATCAAGATCTACTGGGAGGACTTCAGTGGGCCAACGGACACAGGAAGAGACAGAGGGGGACAAAGAGGGTGCCCCCCGAACCCAAGCGCAGAACTTTATATCTGCGAAGAGATATGCACTCCCCCTGACTGAGAAGCACACTGTTGCGGTCTGCCTCAAGCATGACATGCAAGCATGAGGCAGTATACAATCAGACGCAATAGCGAGATAATGCCCAGTGGCCTGCATGATCATACCTTTTCTCAGAAAGCACACTGTTGAGGCCCGCCTCAAGCATGACAGGCAATCATGAGGCTAGGATACAATCTGCAACAATACTGAGATAATGCCCAGTGGCCTGCATGAACATACCTTTCTCAGAAAGGCTGTACAAACAGGGACGCTGGACCCTGTTTCCAGCAGTTGCAGCTCCCCACCAACAGATGGGGCCTTCAGACATAGGCGCCCACTTAAGGAGGCCGCTCTTAGACCACCACGGTCCACCAGTACTTGGCCCATACATCGGCCACGGGCCGTTGTCGTTAACRGACCGCAACTTCCCGGTTTCGGAGTACCAGACCTCAATGGCCGGAAGCGCCAGCCGGCTCAGCATCGATAGCTGGGCCAAGTACTGGTGGTTGAACACCTCCTTCAGCGGAGTCACCAGCAACTGGAGTTCACATTAAAATAAAAATAATTAAAAAAAAGCATGACTCACATAATGCACTCGTCATCATCAATCGAGATGGCAAGGAGGGTGACTTACGTAGGCTAAACAAAGTCCCTTCTTGCTCCCACACAGTCACGGGAAGAAACCATGGATGATGACGGAAAAGGAAGGAGGACAAAGATGAAGAAGAACAGAAGGCCCATGTATATAGTCAAACAGAGGAGCTGCCCGGTAAGCCGTAGACAGAGAGGGGGAAGAGGACAACAAACGAGGGCCCGGGCTGTGACAAACTGTTTCGTCGGAGTTTCAACGACTCATCAGGAGGCTGAGCCCWACTGAAATTCATAAAACAATTSCACCTACAAATAGCTCCCAAACACAATGGTGAAGTCTTAACGGGGGATACTTCACCTGAGATAGTCAGCAAGTCCCTCTGATCCATCTCTCTCTCTCTCTCTCTCTCTCTCTCTCTCTCTCTCTCTCTCTCTCTCTCTC